TATAGGCCTTCAATTATTATTAAAAAAAAACTTCATTTACTGTTAAAGAATAGTGGTTGAAAAATTTTACTTTATCATCACTTAACTAAGAAAGCAACAATGGACAAACGCAAGACACAATTTTACGAGAAATCCTTCAAAGTGTATCACAATGAATTCGGGACAAACGATATATATATATTTCTGGTCAAAAATAAGAAAGAGCGTTTCAATCATAGGAAAGTGGGGAATAATTTGATCGCATGAATATAATCTCTGATGAACGTATGCGCATTCGTCGAGTCGAGTGAAGAGCCAGCCGCCTAACGATCCGCCGGTGGAATTTCGCGGAGATCGAGGTCGCACGTTTCGCCTCCGCGATGAGAAACGTCCGTGTCTTTTCAGGTTTTCGAGCCTGATAATGGCTGGTTTGGAAAGTTTGATTGTCTTGGAACGTGGCTTGGTTACCGCCGCGAGGAATCCGCAAGATTGGAAATATTATCGGGGAATGTGTCTGTCGAGTGCTCGCCTGAATTTGCGAAAATTGAAAATCCAATTCGCAAAGTTCGCGGAATACTTCGCTTCAGCTCGATAGAAACTGGGAATTCGGATTCGTTGAAAGTTGCACAAGGGTAAGCAAGTGGAAATTAGGGGATTCGGTGATTATAATATCGAGAGGTCCAGGAATTCGCAGGTATCCGGCAAACTCGGGAATTCAGGAATTTAAGAATCTTGGAATATGGAAATCTTGGGGAACTTCGTGAGTTAGGAATCCAGGAGTCTAAGAATCGCAGAGACTTTGGAAAATCGTTTAGGTATTTCGTACGAATTCACAGACTCGGGACCCAGGAATTTTGAAACCTAGTGTTTCCCCGGCCATTTAATTTAATAGTTATTTAATCTGGACGTTCTGGAGAATTTTGGAAATTTAGAATCCAGAAGTTCCCCAGCTGGATGTGAAAATTTAGGAATTGAATACGAAAACGACGCTTTGAGAAACTTCGAAATCTAGAAAAAAATTGAAAATTTCCGTAGGGATCTGATAATCCAGAAATCGTTGAACTTAAGAATTTCGTAATTTACAAAAGATCAGAAGTTTAGTTGCTTAAGAATTCAGGAACCTAGACATTTCTAGAATTTTTTAATTTCCGACACATCGACGTTCTAAAGCTTAAGAAACTCGTTTCATTCAGACAATTTTCCGACAGACTTTTCCATCAATCGAAACTTCTTCTCGTTCCAGGCCTCAAATACCTTCACTCAGCCAGAATCCTGCACAGGGACATAAAGCCAGGCAACTTGCTCGTGAACAGCAACTGCGTGCTGAAGGTAAGCACCCTAATTTACTCGAATCTCCCAAAACCTCTTACTTGCCGCGAAAATCACCAAACAGAAACGAATTCTAAACGAATCTCTTTGTAAAAAGAAAAAAAGGAAAAGAAGCAACGAAACCGGTAGAAAGAGGAAACACTCTGTGAATTTCTCTGCATGAATGTTAATAATAATTCACAAAATGACACCATCAGCAATAACGAATTCTAACGAATCTTCCTGTTAAAAAAAAAAAAAAAAAAA